TGTTACATAAGGAGGTAACATTTCCAGAACCATGATAAGGTATTACTATCAATCTTATTTTAGAAATAATGAAAATATAGAGGTCAAGTAGCATGACCAAAGTCACACAATAGTGAGGAAAACAGAACTTGATCCCAGGCAGTCCAGCTCCAAAGTCCACGTACCTAATCACTGTGTTATAGTACCTCTCCTGCAAAGAACTTCACACCCCTTACCATCATGTGCTTCTAGTTTTTTCTTAGCATCTCTCTTTCTTACTGGACAATATGCTTTAGGAGGACAGCTCTATTTTTTTCCTCACTTTAATCTCTTATGCCTAGTAAACAGTGAATATTCGATAAATATCTGACTGAACCTGACAATGTCCCTCTCAACAATCAAAATAAACCTCGGATCTATTTTTAAAATTCTTACTAGATGTTTATTAAAACTCTTATTATATTGTTTTAAAACATCTTATTAGATGGTTGCTCCCATATCTTATGTAAGAACAATCAAAAATATTTTAGTCTTTGCCTGTGAAAGGAATCCAGTTATAAGAGATTATACATTTATTATACATTTCCTATTATTTTATTCTCTATAAAAGAATATACAGTGCTATAGGAAATGTATGAAAACAAGACAAACAAAAAAAATCTGGTAAGTAGTTCCTTTGCCTGCTAATACATTGACATGGCTTGGTAAGCAATTTTCTTGTCTCCCTTTGAATGACTATGGCACAATAAGAGTTTACTGCTTACTACACCACAACTCCTTACAAAACTTCTGCAGAATAGAAAAGAAATTTTAAATCTTTTCAAATTTATGAAACAGGCTACTATTTGAAAAGCATCATGAAGGACTATGTCAATAAAATGGCAAATGTTTGGGGCTAGAGGTGTGGCTCAGTGATAGAGTGCTTGCCTAGCATGTGTGAGGCACTGGATTCAATTCTCAGCACCACATATAATAAATAAAGGTCCATCAACAACTAATAAAAATGTTAAAGAAAGAAAATGGTAAATGTTCAATAAATCAACCTTCCAATGAGTTTTCAAAAATCCTAACAGCTTTATTATATCCAATTTCACAGGGAAAGATTTTACAAGGTTTTGTTGTGGTTGTTTTAAGGAACAGATTTTAGAGCTAAAAGGTTCAATGATTTATTCATTGAATCCCTTCTGATTTATTTTAAGCCTTACATGTACCTAATTTAACGAAGACTGGCCTTCTAGAATCTACCTACCTACTTTTACTGAATCAGATTCACTCTTTCCCTCCTCAGCACAGTAGTTTAGGTATTGCCTTCTCCCATTTTCTGTTCCCAACTGCAGAGGCTAAACCAGACCTAAGTGAGTCAAAACATTTCATCCCCTTCCTTGGGCAGAGTGACTGCTGCAGAGACATCCACATGTACCTATCAGAACCAATGACAGAATACAAAACTTTGAATGTCTACAAGAGAATCTCTTCCTTTCCTATTGGAAAAAGCTAGAAAGGATGTAGGGGTTGGAGCTTTTGCCATCTTGCCAACATATGGTACCTGACACCAAACCAATCAACAGGAGACAGAGACCTACATCTAACCAGCCTCTAAAGCCTAAGCTAGTTCTAGACTTTTCAACTGTGTCAGAATATAAATTATCTTCTTCCTTAATGCAGTTTGGGTCAGAATATTTTTCACTTTTAATTAAAGAAGTCCTGGATAACATGACTACTATTTGTATTTCTAACATAACACATGAAGCTAATATAATTAAACAGAAGCTTCTATGAAAGACCACTTTTTAAGATTTTTTTAAGTTGTTGATAGACATTTATTTATTTATTTATTCGTTCATTTATTTATTATTTATACATGGTGCTGAGAATCGAACCCAGTGCCTCATACATGCCTGGCAAGTGTGATACTGCTGAGCCACCCATAGCCACTGAGCCACAGCCACAGCCCATGAGCCACAGCCACAGCCTGAAGGACCATTTTTTAAAAATATTTTTTAATTGTCAATAGACCTTTATTTTATTTATTTATATGCAGTGCTGAGAATCAAACCCAGCGCCTCACCCATGCCAAGCAAGTGTGCTATCACTGAGCCACAGCCACAGCCCCTAAAAGACCATTTTTATATATTATCCATTTTCCCTGTATGAGTAGTTTAAAAGTTAAGTATTCAGATTATACTGCTCATTCTACAATTAATCTTTTTCTACTGTTCAGTCTCATACACTGAATATTCTATGTGCAATATCCAGAGTCAATAATATATAGTGCTTCACAAAAGCCAATGTAAAAGGAAGAGATATGTGTGACTTAGTTCAAATAAAGGCCTAATACACACCATTCTACAGATGCTTAAATAAATGCAGCTGTATTAGTTCATGATTTTGTCACCAGATTTTATATTTGGTCACAGGCCTATAAAGAATGTGGTTAAAAACAAATAAAGGTGGGGTGCAGGTGTAGCCTTGTGGTAGAACATAGGCTTAGCATATTCAAGGTCCTGGGTTCAATCTCCAGCATCCAAAACAAACCCCCCCCAAACAAATGAAGGCAATTTTAGAACTTTAAATGTTAACATAAACAAAACTGCATATCAATTACAGCAAAGTAGAATATTTTTTTTAAAATTCTATCAGTAGTTTAAGTTTTACTTACTGGTATTTTTCCAAATATGCAAAATTATACTTATTATTAAAATTAATTCACTGTGAATGCTGCCAATTAGCGCCCTCAGCAGACATGCCTTTACTTTTACTATTGTTGAAGGTGGAAATTTTCTATACCACTAATTCCATCCAGAGTTTGAAATGACCCCTTTGAAATAGTACATATAAGGCCAAGGACATTCCTCCCCTAAGAAAATTATGTGAATGTAAATCAAATTAACATTCTATGTTAGGGCTTTTCACCAATGGTAAAAAATATAAAAAGGCAGAATTTTAAAAATTAAACTGAACTGTGGTCATCTCATAGATCTGACTGACTACATGCATGAAATTCATCCTTTACGTTAAATTAAAAGCATAAAAGATGATTAACTCAAGTTATAGACATAGGTTAAATGGTTAATAAATTCAAAGTATATTAACATTGCTGTTTACTTAATATATATACAGCCTATGGTTAGCTGTGCCACAGAAAAATAAAATATCAAAGAAGAAATTCAGCCCTAGAAAAGGAAATATAAGTATGAACAATATTTTAGTGGTCTCATCCCAAAAGACTTGATATTTTGGAAAAGATTTAATTCAGATCATGGATAAGAAAGTTACAACTCAGATAACTTAGAAATTCTTAAAAGTGTGTTAATTTCATAAGTTCACAGGTAAACTACTCTTCATTTTAGAAAATGTTCGTTTTATCAAAGAACAAAATGTTTCTTAAATTAACTATGGCTCCATACATAGATATTACCATTATTCACAATTAGAATATCAAAAAATTGCATAATCCAAGTGGATATATTTGTTTGCATAGAATTTACCTCAAAGTTTTTGTTTGAGTGTCTTCAACTTAATAATACTTCCAGAATTCACAAAACTTTGGTTATTTTTAATTTTAAAGTTAAAAAATAATAAAATAATGAAAATAATTTCTATCATTATATTTCCTATGGAAACTACTTGTTGTGGTTCTGAATATGAAGTGTCCCCCAAAATCTCCTGTGTTAATGCAGGAATGTCTGGAGGTAAAATAATTACACTGTGAAAACTGTAACATAGTCAGTCCATCCTGGTTTAAATGGACTGGGTAGTAACCGTAGGCAGATGAGGTATGCTGGAGGAGGTAGACCACTGCAGGCATGCCCTAGAAAGGTTCATCTTCCCTGTAGCCCCTTCCTCCCTTATCCTCCTCTCTTCCTCCTGCCCACCTGGAGGTAAGCAGCTTCCCTCCCCCACGCCCTTCCACCATAATGTTCTGCTTCACCTTGGGCACAGAGCAATGGACTCATCTGACCATGGACTAAAACTTTGGAACTATGAGCCAAAATAAACTTTCCCGTCTCTAAGTTTTTTTCCTGTTATTGTTAGGTAGTATGGTCACAGCAACTAAAAGCAGACTAAACACCATTCAACATAATTCAAAAACTCAGGGCACTGACATAATTTATTATCAAGAATGGAACACATCTTACCTAGCGGTTGCCTATATTTGGATACTGCATAATTAAATAAGAAGATAATGCTAGAAGTACACTATTTCTTCCTCTAGTTATTGTCTTATCTCCTCCTCTAAACAAGTAACTGTGCATAAAAGCTTCTAATTATTTACCTCCCCTCAAGGTTTTATAGCAGAGGTCAGCAAACACTCTCTGTAAAGGGCTACACAGAAAGTATTTTTGGCTTTGAGAGGCATTAGGTTTCTATAACTACTCAATTCTGCCACTACAGTGTGAAAGCAGCCAGACACAACATACAAATGAATGGACATGGTTGTGCTCCAACAAAACTTTATTTATAAAAACTGTCAGAGAACCATTCTGACATGAGGCTAGCAGTTTGCCTAGGTGTGCTCTATTTCAAGATTTCTTCTACTTAGTCTTCCCTGATTCCTCTGATTTACTACAATTGCTTTGGTTACCAATCATAAGCCAAGGACACAATTTTTATTCACAAGACCAGACTTTTTAGCTCCAAACTCAACCTCTTGTTCACAACCCCCCCTCCAATCACACCCCCTGTATCTCACGGGTTCAATACTGTTCTAAGACAAAAGATTTTCTCTTTCAAATATATTTATTATCTCAGTTATGACATTACCATCCACAAATCTGTCCTTGCCAGGAAACAAGGAGATATCCTTTAGGAGTCAGATTCATTGATTCATTGGAAAGCAATTTGAGTCTCAGCTAATTCTTTTAAAGAGGTTAATAAAGAATGAAACTTCTTAAGAGCACCAAAGAACAGTAACGTGTTCCACTTTTCTCTGAATTTAGGGTACACAGTGCCACCTAATGGGGAAAAACAAGGCCACCCTCACTGCAAGTAAAGTTTTTGGTAAATTCAGATTTGTTTACCTGAAGCTGAAGCAAAACAACCAGGGATATGAGGAGACCAGATTGTGCTATAAATGACACTTTCATGACCTCTAAAGGTGCACAGAGACTTTTCAACAGTTGGATCCCACTACAAATAAATGAATAGATTAATTATTTAACAGAGATAAATTCAAATGTATGCTTTTACATATATTACATGTACAATATACCATATATATTTACATATACACATACAATACACATGTTATCTCAAGGCTTTAAGATCTATTTTCATAAAAAACAAGGTGGTCTTTAAGGGGCCAAAATAATCAATGCTAAGCTAATTAGGTTCTAGCCAAAAGACTAGAAAATTTTAAGTTATAATGTTCTAATATATCTTTTAAAAAGAAAATTGTTCAATTCTTAAGTTACAGAATAATACTTTGGAAAAGAAATTCAGTAGAAGCACGGGAGAAGAGAGTTTTTGTTTTTAAATACAATGCTGACATACCACTTTGACAGTCTGATCCCATGAGCCAGACACCACAAGCTGTTCACCTCTGGTTTGGCTCCAATCAACACTATATACCTAAAAACATTTAATGTATTTAGAAAGCATAATAATATTAAATTGAATATTATATTTTATCTCTTTACGATGATAGCCAGCTAGAACAACCAATTTACTTTATTAAAACATCAAATAAAGTCCTAGCCATCTCAACATAATGTTTGAGAAATGGAAAGGAAATTCTGTCTATACTTCCATGCATACTCCTTGTAGATAAGACTCCAACTGCCCTTAATATGATTCTACAGGATATTTCCAAACCTCCTTCACTAAAACAAATTACACATATTTTTAAACCTACCAACAAATCATTGTTTGCAGCACCCATGAAGAAATGTCAAAGCAGATTAGAAAGTTACTCATCTAAAAAAGCTTGCCTGGTCAATGTTTATCAGAAAGCATTAAAATTCAATTAATATCACTATCTGGCCTTTCTTTAAAAAATAAAAAAAGCTTATAGAAACCAGGTGATCCTTTCAGATCTCTTGGTAAACAGCTTTATTTATCCACTGCCACTATTATCTTTCACTGCTCTCAGTGAACCATTTCAAAACTTACATATGTGCATAATTATACTTGATGAAAGTAGTCCTGACATGGACCTGAGTATATGTCATTAAATATGACCAGCTAGAGGTTATTTTGAATCTTAAAACTCTTAATTTCCACATATACATAGGAAATATAAGTGTATGGGATTCACTGTGATAAGTAAGGGTTACTTGCTGTCTGCTTCTCAGTGCTATATACTGAGTCATGTTAGAGCCTGATTAAAAAAAAAATCAGTAATACAAATACTGCCTTTACAATCTGGATGTTTTGTCACTTAGATATGAAATCTTAAAAAGTAACACTTAGGGAAACATAATGACCTTAGCATATGGTATCTACTACATAGAAGTGAAGATTAAATGGGATATAAAACAAAGTGTTGAGAGCATCTGGCACACAAAGCTAAATGAAGATTTTTGTTGTTATTAAAGTATATTGTTGTTATTTTTGACTTTTCACATCAGCTTAGAGCAGGAGTTGGAAAACTATAACTAGTGGACCAGGGCCAAAGTTGACCCTATGCTTGATTTGTAAATAAAGTTTTATTGGAACATAGCCACACCCAATCATTGATAATGGCTGCTTTGTGTGCTGCTTGGGCTGAGTTTAGTACTTGTGACAGTTACTTGGTAGCCTAGAAAATCTAAAATATTTACTATATGGTCCCTTAATAGAGGAAATTTAGAGGATAAAGTCAAATTCTTTGGCTGTCAAGAACTTTAGCAATTGCTTCCAAACTTTTTTCTATCTATAACTAACAGATGCCCAACAGCTCTTGGCTTTTGCTGCCCCTTCTATTTACTTTATGAGTGGTTCCTTTAGTATTCAAAGTGCCTTCCCTCTTGCATGAATATGGACAGCAGGTGGACCAGGACTAGAGTAGGGTATATGAGACACTCACTTAGCTACCCTAAAACTTGGTTATCAAGATAAATAATCTGTTAATGCAGTATTTTTAAAATTTAAAAATAATGCAAAAAAATCCATGATGAACAAAATGTAAAATTTTCTTTTTTTTTTCTGGAACCTTAATAATTTTATTTTTAAAAAATTTAAAACTTTTAAATAGTACTGCCCTTGCTGGTACTATCCTCACTGGAGCTGCATTTAGGCTCAGAATGATTCCATTTTGCTTGTGAATTCTTCCTTTCTAAGAACTTAAAGCTCCTGTTTACTTGTGAATTCCCACTTATCTGTCAAGATGTGGCCCCATTACTTCCCTTATGAACTGAAACCTCCCTGAAACCTCCGAGTGAGTCAGATGCTCCTTTTTGTGCACTCCACCAGCAGTTTGTACCCACTTCTAATCCAGCACTTGGCAAATTTTACTAAAAGTAATGTTAAATAACTGCCATACCTGCTCGATTTTGGACACTCCTCATGAGCAAAACCACTGAGTTTTGAGTACACTATATTCATCACAATAAATGAGGCACTCAGTAATTATTGGTTAAAATAATTTAGCTAATCCAATTTACTTTCACAACCTGCAAAATTGTCACTGAGTATAGTATAGAGAACTACTAGCTAAAGACTAACATCTTCAGCTCATAGCCCCCTGCCTCCACACAACTCCAGTGTGATGCCAGAGTCAAAACCTTATGACTTGTCATCTCTAACACTGCAGGAACCTCCATCAGCTCAGACAGAACCCAGTCCTAGCAGAACAGAAGAAAATTATGCTAATGACACTTTCTTATCTGCCACACAACAAAGTGGCAAGTAATAGGTCTCAAGAACAAAGTTAAGGACAGAACATGGTTAAAAATGGGATAATAGGGCCTGGGGTTGTAGCTTAGTGGTTGGACACTTGCCTAGCACAAGTGAGGCACTGGGTTCGATCCTCAGCACGACATAAAAATAAATAAATAAAATAAAGGTCTTGTGTCCATCTACAACTAAGAAAATTGTTTTAAATGGGAAATTAAGGAAACATAGTCAACTCAATAAATACCTCACTTATCTTACTATGTTTAAAGTATTTGGATATAGTAAAGGAACTAGCAAGCTGGGAGATCATGCTTGAAAATGAAAGAACTACAGATATTAAGTTCAAAAGGGGTGTAAGATGGAAGATTCAGCTTGATGCCCAGAAGAAAATACTTAAGCAGGGCTTTGAGGGCTGGCTAAAATGTCAGTAAGCAGAAATCAGAGATGAAACAGTGACCCCAGATGCCTCCAGACATAAATAGCACCCTACGGATTAGGGTTAGTGAAAGCAAGATAATACCAAGATTTTGTCAACTATCAGTTATGGTGGCATTAACAAAAGTGGAACACGGGAAGGTGGACATGAATGTACAATTTTATACACATCAAGTTTGAAGTCACAGCAAGACAGCCAAGGGGAAATGTCTAGTATGAATATGGTTTGGACATTAACTTCAGGTTTTGAATAAAGTTCACAGCCAGAAAGATATTTAAGGAGATAGATGAAAAACAATAACTGGATTTTGTTAACCCAATCTCAAATCAATTTGCTAATCTATTCAACAAACATTTATTAAGCATCTACCATGTACAAGGCACAAGGAAAGGAGCAGTTACAGTATTAGATAAGACTGACCCTCACAGATATTATATTTAAGCAGAAGACACTTATAAATAAAAATATGCATAATTTCAAGTTGCAATTTTAAAAACCTATTAAGAAAAATAAGGAAATTAGAAAACAATAACAAGGGCAGGGTCACTTCCCAATAAAATAATCAGGAATGACCTCTCTAAGCAGACACTTCAGTATGAAAAAAGACTGGACTCTGCAAATATGAGAGGAAAGGCTTCAGATAGAGAGAACTAGAAAAGACTTTAAGTAGGGAACAAGTCCTCCATATCAGGGGAACAGCAAGGGTAAAGAGTTAGGAGTGATAACATCCTAAAGGATGGGGGTTAACAGTGTGTGTGTCACCAGGTGACGTGGTACACAACTGTAATCCCAGTGACTTGAGAGGCTGAGGCAGAAGAATGGCAAGTTCAAGAACAGCCTCAGCAAGTTGACAAGACCCTGCCTAATAAAATAAAAAGAGCTGGGGCTACAGCTCAGTGGTAAAGCAACCCTGGGTCCAACCCTAACACACACACAAAAAAATTCTGTATGTAATCTCTCTGAAGAGATCCATCCTTTAACTGCTTTCCTTATCTATTCTTATTCACCTCCAATCCATTACCAGACTGCATTTTAAAAATTATAAAAATAATAACAATATTAAGACAAGTATGATGGCACATATGCCTGTAATCCCAGCTTCTGACTAAGTCTTCAGATCTAACTTCCAAATTAAGGAAATAGGAAGGGTAGAGGAAGAAGTTAAATACCACCACGAGGAAACAATTAGCCAAATCTAGAATATAAGACAGGACCAATAACTTGGTTGCTTAAGCAAGTAAATACCATGGGAAAGGTTATTTAGATTAAGAGCCATAACAGCTAATTGTAAAATATGGACCTTATTTGGATACTGATTCAAATAAATCAACTGTAAAAAACAAAAGATATTTTTGTGATAATCAGGGATATAAGAATTACAAATTCAAGCCCAGCCTGGGCAATTTAGCAAGACCCTGTCTCAAAATAAAATAAAAAAGGGCTGGGCTCAGTGGTAGAGTGTTTGTCTAGCCTGTGTGAGACCCTGAGTTTGATCCCCAGTACTGCAAAAAAAAAAAAAAAAGAAGGGAAAAAAATGTATAAATGTCATTCCCCTGTAAAAAGCCTTCCAATAGGTTTCAGACTATGTGACTTCCAAAACTTATCTTCACTCAACATTATGAGATTCATGTTGATTCATATTACCCAAAGGTCAAAATCATGCAAAACTATGCATGACTTAGGAATGCATACATACGTAGTAAAGCTAAAAAGAAAACATAAATAGAAAATTGACGTTAGTGGTTATTCCTGGGAAGAAGGAAGGAAAAAAGGAGAGAGAGGAGGGATAGGATTAGAGATGGGTAATCAGGGACTTCCATGGGGCAGGTAATGTTTTATTTCTTAAGCTAGATGGTGAATATGCAAGTGTTCAATATACCATTTTTTACATTTTACATATATTTTGAATGTATTAATATTTCATAGCTTTTTTTTTTTTTTTTTTTTTTAATCTGCAATGACTTCTCACTGATCTTAGCACAATGATCAGTGACTGTTGCAGGCCCACAGTCCATCCTTCCCCCTTCCTTTGCCTCTCACCCTACTCCTCTGGCCCCTCCATTTGAATAGTTCATTTCTTCTTTTACTCCCTCAGAGTGGACATGGCAAATGATCAAATTAAATATAAAAAGGAAGAAAAATATGCAGCATTGGATTTTATGCTTTAAAAGCAGGGTCCTCTAAATGCCTACCTTATGTAATTACTCTTGGCAGTGGTGAAAAAAATTGAGAAAAATAGAAAAAGAAAAAAATTTTAAAACACTGAACAATGTTTTGTGCTGCTTTATGAAATCTGAACTTCAACAAAACTAGTTTGAGA